TGCTCTTATATCCATTACACCCCCCAAAATATTCACCCATATTCTGCTTAATATATTTTTAATATATAATGGAATATACTACTATAAAGTCAATTTTTCATCATTACTGCTTTTTTTGCCACAGCGTTTATAACTTTGAATCATATAAGTGAACTTCAAGGCAATGATGATGACAAGGAGGCACACTAAATGAGGCTGCTGGTTTAAACCACTTGTTGCACTTCAAAGTTATTTGCAGTACAGTTTGACAGTGCCATAGACGCAGGTGTGGCTACTGTAATTCCACTTGATAACAACCGGACAAACCAAAGGGGTTGTATAAACAGGTGTTTTCAACCTTGCAGAGAAATACAAGCACAAACTACAAGTAGGGTGGTGAAAAAGTAAGTAAACCCCCACATGGTTTGACATATTTAGACATATTTGACCTTCACCCCCTCCAGGTCCTGATAGTAGATACAACTAGTTTCATTTAACAAACGGCACACAAAAAAATTTACTTTGGCACTGACGTTTATGGTAACACATTATAAGAAATCTGTTCAAAAGTGTTGCTGCTTATTAGTCTGGGAAGGGTTACAAAGTGTTTTCAAACCATATGAAGTCCATCATTCCATCGTAAGAAAGAATCTACAAATGGAGAAAACGGAACATCACTGCCAACCTAACCAGCGGTGGCTCCCTACCAAATTCGCTCCAAGATCGGACCACCTGATGCTCCTAGAAGTCTCCAAGAACCCTTTGGATCTACAGGTTGTCTCGCTATGGTAAATGTCAGAGTACATGTTCAGTTCACCATCAGGAAAATAATGTCTTCCATGGAAGGATGGCCAAGAGGAAACCCCTGCTTTCCAAGATGCTTAAGTTTCCAAAACAGCACTTGAATGAAAAATGACTTACGGAACAATGTGCTCTGGACAGACGTGCATAAAAGTGGAGGTGTTACACCAGAACGCAAAATGCCAAGTTTGGTAAAAACCTAACATCATCTTTGACCTCATACCAACCATAAAGCATGGTGGTGGTGAGGGGTGATGGTTTGGACTTGCTTTGCCGTCTCAGCACCTGGATGCCTTAATATCCTTGAGTCTACAAAGAATTCCATATTATTCCAGAGTATTCGGTTCCTTCAAAGCTGAACTGGAACTGGATCACGCAATGGGACAATGAGCCAAAACACACAAGCAAGTCTATAACAGAAATGTATAAAAACACGAAACCTGTGACTTTGGAATGTTCCAGTCAAAGTCCAGACCTACACCCCACAGAGATGTGGCAATGTGACCTAAAGAGATCTGAAAGTCTTCAAACCTCACAGAACTGCTTCAACTCGATAAGAAAGAGTGGGCCAGAATTCCTCCCAGGCGATGTGAGAAACCATCTCTTACAGGAAAATTAAATTCAAGTTATTGCTGCAATAGAGTGCACCATGGGTTACTGAATCAAAGGGTGTACTAGTCACACAAAGATATTGAATTCTTGTTGACTTTTTAAAAAGTAGAACTTGTGTGCTATTTGTCAAATGAGGTTGGTTTTATCTACTATTAGGAATATCTACTACTATTAGGAATAGGCGAGGATGAGATGTCAAATATGTCTAAATATAAAGGCCAAATATGTCTAAATATTTTAATATAGACACTTTATGTGTCTATTGCATTTTTTAAATATACATACTTTTTATTTATATTTAGTTTACTTTGTAGCCACACTTAATGTATAACTTTGTAAACACCATATGTCCCCCTTAAGAAGAGTCTTCTAAGTAAAACTAATAATACTAAATCAAATTAAGCAAAGTTCAGAACATCATGATGAAAAGTTCTGAGCACACTTTAAATGTAGTTTAGAAACAATAAGTAACCAGTCTACTTACATATCAAGGTTCATCGAATACTTCACATTTTATTAAAACATCTTTATAATTTAGCTTGATAAATTATTTGGTGTTTGCATATGGAAAACAGGTACATCCAGCATCCAGACAAATCCATCTCCTTCCTTAATAACTAGCATTAAAAAAAACATCCTACCAATAAATCCAGCCTGCCTGAACTGTTGACTTATGTTCTATTGCTCTAAGATAAATAATACTACTTAAAGAAGCAAATCCTAGTCATGTGTTATATTTAAGGACAAAGACATCATATCATAAAGGCAAAATCTAATGATAAGGATATATGTGTAAACAAAAACATTATTAATCATTTATATTAATAGAATTATAGATCACTTTGCTGGCCATAAACAATTTCTTGTATTAGGAATTTGTCTTTTCACATACCCCAACTTGCTCTCCGTGAGACACACAGAGAGGGAAGTTGGAGGTCGGAGCGCAGGGTCAGTCATTTATATGGCGCCCCTGGAGCAGCTGGGGTTAAGGGCCTTGCTCAGGGGCCCAATGGAGAAGGATTCCTCTGCCGGCCAGGGGATACAAACCGGCAACCTTCCAGCCACAGGCAAAGATCTTTAACCACAGAGCCACAGCACCGCCCAATTGTCCAAGGGACAATTTCTATTCCTAAATCAGAGCCAATGTTCAAGAACAACTGGCTTACATAATCATACTATATTTACTATAGGCAAACTGTGAACAACCAACACTTCTACAATGATTTCTTTCATAAAGAATGAAAGACAGGTTCCTGGGGTTTCTGCCCTTGCTGCTCCTGCCCTGCCCATTCGTCTCTCACTGCCTGGGCACAAACCTGGGTCTCTGGCATCACGCAACAGGAAACTTGCCAGCTGAGCTAAAGGAGACCTCCCTCAGACCGGGCAGCTGAGATCCCTGTTATACACAGGGGTGTATGTGTTACACAGACAATAAAGATAAACACAGAATACAGTTAATGTTACAGTCTCAGATACTGTTACTGAAACGTTTTTTCACTGCGTTTTCTATTTATTAATTTCATATTATATTAAGTTATGAAGCATTATTGCAGCAGAGAGACTACAACACAGAACATCAAAACTGTTCTGCAAGCAGCAGTTATCAAATGGCACAGAGCATGAGATGCAAGCCTTTCATGCCACAAATTTCCTATGTATTGTAATTATCTGGTTTTCCTAAGTTCAGTTGCCAAGTTACAGAGCTTGAAAGGTTCCAGGGACTTTCACTTCACTTCAAAATGTCAGGAACAAGTGGTGGTAAAATAAGGTTTCAAAATTGATATGGGAAAAAACAGAACACAAAAATGTTCTTGGCACCTCTGTGTAGCTATAGTATGATGGTTTAAAGAAATGTGAATTCAATGAACACAATACAATCATTCCATGGCCTTTTCAGTGTCTAGTCTGGTTGGTCAGTCATGTGTGCCAAATTAAGGGATCTGTGTCATGATAACAGTGCTGAGTAAAAGGAAATATAAAACTTCCATTGAAATACTAAGCCCCAGTACAGTATTGACTTCTTCCTACTGTAACCCTGAAAACAGAAGTTAAACCATTTTCAACATGCCTGGTTTGTAATCTAAAATTTTTAAGTCTGGTATTTCAAAAAATAACAGTCTAAGAACAGCTTTATATGAGACAGTTGTTGGCAGACATGCAGCAGGCAAACATAAGCTTTTACTACCATAAATTAAACAATTTTCTATAATTACCCTTTGCTTTATTCATGTTCAGAACAAACAGAAACATCATTAGAATAAATTAAATACTATACGTAGACAGACTTAGTCAACAGAAACTCCTAGCAAAGTATAAGTGATTTTACAGATAAAGTGTGACCATGCTCTAAATAATTGTAAATAGACACTGCAGTCTGTAATGTGATGACTGAATTCTCGTGAGAGATCGTCATTGTCGACTTATTGTTCTGAAATATAATTACTAAAGATGACAAGAAGTCTGTTGAACCACATTATGCCATTGCATTATTAAAAAAAATGAACACCCACTTTCAAAGCCGTTTCATAACACATTTGTACTAAATGGTAAGAAACACAGTTGTGTTAGTGAATCTGGTTTAGAGTATTTAAGTACCTTAAAATATGTTATTTTCAAACACCGCCATTCTATAATGCAGATATCACGTACTTAAAAACCAGCAAATGATTTAGTAACCGTTAAGAAAAAAACATCTGGTCATTTGCAAGAAACAATTTTGCTGTTTCTTTACCTTTTGTTTTTTGCGTTTTCTCTTACAACGAGATGCCAATCAAGCATTTTAACTAAGATAATGGGGTGCACTTTACCTCATTCCCAGTTAATACAGCCATAGTTCACGACCCCTCAAATACATCAGAAATAAACATTACAAATGCATAGGTTTCTGTCATGTTGTTAAAAGCCATTATCATCAGTGCAGGCATCGCTAAACTGAATTGATGACGTTTTGCTAGTTACTAGATTATTAGATTTAGCTAGGGAAAAAATCATTTTTAAAACACTGCATCATATTTCTAATCTTTAATTTAGTCTGCGACGTGTACATGGATGTAGCTTATAAGGGCTAGTCAGACGCAGATGAAACAAAATCAAATTAGTTTCTTTAAAAACAGTTTTTAACCGATTCATACTCAAGACAATCAAAATAATGGAGAACAAAATTCATTAATGTATTATTTTTTTGCACAAAAAAAAGAAACCCGACTGCTTTAGATTTCATCAAATAAAACAGTATTGACCAAGATGGAAGAACTAGAATGTTTACAACATACAACAGCATTATTTCCTTATTTCTCTCGTTTGACGGGATTCTTAGCGCATAACAGATATACCTATATTGATAACACCTATATTATTCCTATACGATGAACGTAGCCTAATGGAGCGGCCAGTGCCTTCCGGTCTCCCGGGGAACAATACCACCCCACACTGTTACATCGCTGTATTTATACAGACACCGCTCTTATTCGAGGGCTCGTCAACAAAACGGTTATAGCACAGACCCGTCTGGTTATCTTAACGCTTGTATTATTCTGTATTCAGCTATCTTTAACCTGTTTTCCGAGCTTCACCGGTGAAACGATGGACGTTTTACACCATACGCTTACATTGGATGTATCTCCATTGTGTTGTCTCTCTTCAGAACGCGGGGAGTGAACGCGGCGGCTTGCACCATTCCATCGCAGAACCGGGTCTTTTTTTAAATAAAGAAATGCACCGATCACTTATATTTTGTGCCGGTGGAAGGGGTTCCAATCCATTTCGATAGCGTCCTCCTAATTCGCACTCATTCTGCCGGGCGATAAATCGCGTGTCATTCAGTCTGCTGATATTCAAAAGTGTTCAGCTGGAAGCAGTTTCGTATTCCGCTCGCTAAAGCACTGCAGCGAGAAAATCACGGCAGACAGAGCGAAGAGATACCATCCAAGTCACTGATCATATTGAAGAACCCAAAACCAAGGTACAGATGCTACGAGCAGCACAGTGAACTACCTGTTATTTCCTTCAATGATTAAAATACACAAACAAGGATATATCAGCAAAGACCGTCTTCAGACAGACTTGTTGAGAAAAAACAGTAGCTCCCCCTGCTGGTGGAAGACTACCAACATGGAAAACCGGTCAAAATGTTTCAACTTTTTTTAAACAGTACTACACTACTTAAACCATTCCTCCCGCACCTCGTTCAGGAGCTCAGGTGTTTTCTGGTTTTGTCCCCAGTTCCACAAGCCATTTCATTTCTGTTTTCCATCTGAGGCTTGTTTTAACGTTTTCTTTCTCTCTTAAGAAAGTGATTAGGATTGTAGTTGGTGTTACGAACTCAATACACATTTTTTTAGTTTCGGAGTTTCTCTTATTCTGGTGTGTTAGATGAACTGTGATTGGCTGGACCTCTGAGAAAAGGAAAAAAAATGTTTACCTTAGTGTTTGATTCATTGTCATTCACGTCTGTGTCTGTGAATTGATCACCTATTAAAAGTTGTTCAGGCACAAATAAATGTGTAAGCTCTTAATAAAAAGTTGAGTCCCCCATGATTAATGTATTTAAGTAACTTATGCTACTAATCTTTGATTATCTAAGTATTGCAGCTGTTTGTAGTACTGTGTGCTTATGTGGCCTATATTGCCAAACATTCATAACTGCAGTGTTTAGTTTTAATAAGTGAACACCAGCTCTAAAGACAACACACCAAAATAGGTGTTTATCAGCGGCTGTCTAGTCACGACAGCAGCATATGCGTAATGATAACAATAATCTCAAGGGGTTTTCACGATGGTACTGTTTAAAGTCTACTTGTTGTCCAAGAAAATAGAACACATGGAAGATATTATCCAACAGATTCTAACGTTAGCAGGAAAGTCAAGATTCCAACACCAAAACTGAGAGACTTAAGTCACTTACAGTCAGGTGTGTGTTTCATATTGGTGGTGGTGGAGTGGAGTCCCCCTTAGCATTATAGGCTCTATATAACTTCTATATTATTATTATTATTATTATAAATTGAAGTGGAATATTGTGGTAACTGTGGGTTACATTCCAATGAGCATTGTGGGCTGTTCAAACGATTTGTTATTGCCTTTACTTCAATTAGTTGTTAGAAGCTAAGCAATCCAATAATCTTATCCAACCATATTTTCAAGGAAGCTAGGGTACCAGCTTCTCCAGAACGACTAACATCTCATATTACAGACACCTGCTGCTGTTCATATAAAAACGTTCCCTCTGTGAGATTTTAAATGTATCGTCCCATAGTTTCCATTTCTATTCTATTATTCATGTTTCACTGTCAAATTCTGAAGAAGTGTAAGAGGTATATTTTGTCAATGCCTTCATCGATATGAATATTTGAATCAGGTTCCCTCATAATCTTCGTCGTTCGATACAAAAAGATTAAGCTCTCTTATTTTGAATGTTAATGATTTTGATGTAAAATATCAAGAACAGTGGTCAATGGATATAGATTCTTGTGGTATGACTGATTATATCGCAATATTTCTCAGCATCTACCACTAACTGACCACTGTCTGAACTGCATGCTTTCTATCAGTTAGATGCTAACTGCTAGTTAAGAATTACAGTTTTATGGGGAACTTTAAAGCTTTCTGAAAAATTAAATCTACTACATTGTTGCCGTAATGGTGGTTGCTGAGTTACACTTTCAAATTAGCTTGTGTACAGTTCTCATCTTGATTGCCTTATTTTGAAGGTTTGGAACAATAGATATTGTAATCCTGTATTTAAAAAGCTGTCGACTGGCCTTGAGACATGTAAACAGAGCAAAAGGTATGGATCACGAAAAATGAGACCTTGTAATTAACTAAGGTTAAACCAAATCACTGTTAGATCATTTTAAACAGCTATATTAAAACAGATATACTGATTTAAGGAAGCTGGAACAATCAGTGAGGCCATTGAGACAGCCTCCATGAAACAGGTTTGAGAAACAGAAAGAGGAAAGGATAGACATCATTACAGAAGCTTGTGCTGCGAGAGAGTGCCTTTCACCAATCCCACTTGAAACCAGATTCTGTCCAGGTAATCTGAATGCCGAAAGATTACAAGAATCTGAGCATTATAATACAAGAGAGTTTGCAGGCATATTTATTTGGAAATTCTGATTCCATTTATGCCCGTGAGCACAAATTAAGAGAGGAAGATTAAATCCTGAACTTGTTTCAAGATGCAGGTTTTCTCTTTTAAACAAAAAAATGTTTTGTGTTTTAAGATTATAGGGGCAGAATTCTGTATGCCTGTAGATGACAGGGCTCTGAATCTCACAGAACTGTACATAGAGTGCCAATAGTACTCAGACAATTAGTGATCACAATTCATTACTTGAAAACTTGTTGTCGTGTCACTTTAAAGCAACAATTGATATGCCACTATCTGTGGGGAATATAGTGATTCATATGGTTTCAGAATAAAAACCTGTCAGGTCAGGCAGTGAATTTTAAGCACATTTTTAGCTATGAAGACACCCTTTCAAAACAACTCAGGGATACGGCTGTAGAAAGGCGCAGAACAAGAGATGAAAATATAGAAATATAGAATAATATCATATTCTATATTTTCTATTTATTTCTATAGAAATATAGAAAAATATCAAAGAGACTACATATCCCTTTGAGCACAGTGAAGTCGACGACTGTCTAGGTGAGAACTGAGCAGTCGGACAAGGAGGGAACTAGTTAGGTATGCCACTGTCGGGCCAACAGTGACTGAAAAAGTTACAGACTTCATGGAGATATGATTCCATGAGACAGAGCTGGCTTTTATTGCACATCGGAAAGAAGGAAGCCATTCTTGCAAAAAGAACATTTCAACTCCTTCACCTAGTTTGCAACAAAACACTTAAGTGATACTGTAAACAAGTGGCAAAACGTGTTTTGTGGCTAAACAAGACAACACTGCATCATTTTGGTCTACATGCAAATGTTACATCTAGTGGAAGCCCAGTCAACACCATCCCTGCTGTTAAACTTTTTGGTAACAACATGATGTTATGGGTCTGCTTCTCTTCAACAGGGAATGATGGAGAAAAACTGGGAGAAACAGGGTGGAGTGAAGGACAGGCAAATTTTAGAGGAAAACATGCTTCAGTCTTCTGAAGACCTAAAACGACGATGAAAATTCACTTTTCAGCGAACAACCCCAAAACACAAGACCAAAGCACACCGTAGTGGGCTAAGAATAAAAGAAGTGACCCAATCAAAGTCTTGGCTTGAAACCTGTTGAAAATCTGTGGAAAGACTTGAAAAATGCTATTTGTAAGCTAAATGCTCAAGCACTTTTAAGAACTTGAGCAAATCTACCAGGATGAATGGGCAAATTTCCCCACCTTTGTCTTCTGATGAATGTCTTGGCTCCATAGTTCCATAACTGGAAAATTGAAAAAAAAATCTATATAATCAGTTCTAAACTGACAGAGCTAACAATGCTGACAGTTTGTACATAAATTAGGTGCTCAAAGAAATTATTCAATTGCAAAAGTGTTCCTCCTCTTTGCTACAATAGCCTTAAATCAATTCGGGAGCAAAAGGATAGTTTGAAATCCTACAAAGTTAGTATAATGGTCTCTCTGTGTGTGGAATCAAAGTGGAAGCTGACTTCAGTGTAAATGCATCTGTCTCTATAAGTACTCTTAGGTACAGAAGATATTGATTTTGAAGTCACGATATTGCGGTACAACAAATTAACCATGAAGAACAAGGCGATTTCAAAACAAATCAGTGCTGAATTTATAGAGAGACAAAGATCAGGAGCAGGTTACTTATCATTTTGAGTACAGCGAAGTTAACTAGTTCCAAATAGCTTGACAGATCTGGAGCAATTTTGCCAGAAAGAATGGGCACAACAACAGCATCCCACTGTGTATAGCTGCTTGATACACATCTACACATACAGACAGCAGTAATTGCTACCAAAGGTGCTTCCACTGGCCTAAGGGGATGAATAATGATGCAATCACTCATTTTCACTTTGCATATGCTCATTGCAGGTTTTGCTGAAATTAAACATTAAGGTGTTAAATTAGATCTTTACAGTTTTAAATAAAAAGGTTCATTTGAATGCATTTCTATACATTGCTTGTATTTAATCAAAATGTGATATTACTGGCAGTGGGGGAATGCCTTTGCAAGACTGCATATACAATAGATCCACAGTTTTGTTGAGCTTTATAAGCCAAAAGCATGATTATAAAATCAGTCCCAAATCAAACAGGAAGCCAAGAGCGTTGTGTAATATATTCAAATTTCTTGGTTCTTTATAAAATGCCTGGCTCTGTATTTTATATATGTTTTCATGTCATTTGCCAAACCGCTTTATACCATATTGTGTCGCAGGAAACCGGAGCCTACCCGGCAAGCAAGGAGCGCAGGGCAGGGTACACCCTGGACAGGACGCCAGTCCATTGCAGGGCAACCGTAAGCCAATCATACATGGGGACAATTTGGGGGCCACAGTAAAGGCCGAGGGGGGAAATTTGGCTTGGACACCAGGATAACTCCCTACTGACCACTGAGAGTCTGACCACTGAGAGTCAGGACCTTGGTTTAAAGTCTCATCCGAAAGACGGCGCCCACTACAGTACAGCGTCCCCGCCACTATACCGGGGCATTAGGACCCACACAGACCACAGGGTGGGTCCCCCCCCCCACTGGTCCCACCTACTCCTCTTCCAGCAGCAGCCATTGCTTCCCAGAGGGTCTCCCATCCAGGTACTGACCTGGCTCAACCCTGCTGAGCTCCAGTGGGCTCCCAGTTGAGAGCTGCAGGGTGATATGGCTGCTGGCTATATGTGTTGTAGTCCAGAGAACTATGATTCGATGTACCAGAGAAAAGTGCATTACAACAGCTAGTATAATGGTGCTTTTAATGAAACTCTCAGGACAGGAGCCTCTAATTGAAGTTACAAACTTTCCATGGGGACTGAAACTCTCAGGACAGGAGCCTCTAATTGAAGTTACAAGCTTTCCATGGGGACTGAAACTCTCAGGACAGGAGCCTCTAATTGAAGTTACAAGCTTTCCATGGGGACTAATAATGTCTAAATAGGATGATTCCTCTTATTGCTATAAATTACATAAAGAGACCATTCATCATTTAATGCAGTTCTCTAGCTTCTCTGTTAAAACAGCTCCACACCAACTAAGTGGAAGTAAACCATCTCCAAGTAAAAGTAAAACAGTCTTGTCCAGAAACTTTCCCAATGTTACAGTAATGCCACAATTATGAGAGTTAAAACAATTTGCCAATCCATTATTTAAGGAATACAGTCCACTGGTTGCCTCATAGCCTTTTCCATAGTCCATTTACTTTATTAGAAAGAAAATTGGCATTAGTTTTAAGTGTCTTGGTCTTTATGTAATTTGTACCCAAATGCATAGTAACAGAACTAAACTGTTCCTTTGGGATCAAATAATGAATAATAATCAATTGTTTACACTTATATAGCGCTTTTCTGGACACTCCACTCAAAGTGCTTTACAGGTAATGGGGACTCTCCTCCACCACCACCAAATACCAAGCAGATTTGCACCTGGAAAGAATTTAAGAATAATTTTCTGTTTCTGCTGATGCACTATCAACATATTTAACAATATACCAGGAAAAACGGGCAAGTTTTCCCACTTTTGTCTTCTCGCGAACCCCTTTGGTTTATTTTTTGATAGCATTGTTCTGGGTAATTGTTATTTTTCTGTGGGGTTATGCACCAATTCAGAATCTACAGTTCTCTATGGCATTAAATGTAGTTCCGTCATCGAGTGGTTTTCGGATGTTTGCAGGAAAATGGCAGTTGATTCAATTTTCTTACAGTATGTCCAGATTCCTTTTGCTTTAGTTTAATAGAGTTCATGTCATGGTGCTGCTTGAGGTGGTTATCCTGCGACTGTGCTCCTCGTGTTTCATGGTCTGGCAGGTTTTAAAGGCAACGTTAAAAACGTTTCAGTAAGACCTGGAGAAACTGCTTATTCGATTTCTTATCGGCTTAACTGGTTCAATCATTAAGTGATTAATACCTCACACAGAATGAAAGTCAGAAACAAATACATCACTTTAGCACCAGGATTGCTCACACCTGCAACATTGTCCTTCAGATGAAATATTAAACTTGGGACCTGACCATTTGCTCATTAAAGACCCCACGTTCATTGTTTGAAAAAGTAGTGCTAAATGCGAGGTCGTCATTCCACATGAGAATTTATCTATCCGGTTAAATAAAGGCTTAAATAATTTAATAACAAACCCTTTAGTAATGAGGTCCTGATAAGTATTCCATTTTTCCAAGTAAAAAACTCCCAGCTGCTTACCAAAATGAAAATGTTGACGCTGATTACAACGACAAATATAAGAGACAAAATAAATAAATTAAAAATACTGAACACGGCGTGGAGTTTGAATGCTCTCCCTGTATTTGCGTGGGTTGCGCTCCGGATTCCACCCACAGCCCGAAGACACACTGATATGTTAACTGGCTTCTGCCAACAGTGGCCCGATGCGAGTGTTTTTATGCGTCTGTGTTGTACTCTGCTTTGAGCCCAGGATAGGCTACCGCTTCCCGGCGACCCCGAATCAAAGAAAGAGGTTAGAAAATGGATGGATGGAAAATACTTAACACTAAAAAACAACTGAGAGAACATTAAAATAAAAAAAATGAAGGGCACTGATCCCGGTTTCCATTTACATATGCAAACAACACGTTTATATGAGTTTAGAGTTGAGTTTAATTGGTTAAATTTTAGTTTAAGTACGGTATTTGCTGATGTCAAAGTCACTTCGACTTGCATCTCTGTAACCCCAGTTGACTCTATGTTACGAAGTGTGAGAAGCACGTGATCCGAAGGCTCTCCGCTCGGATGAGTCGGTGAGTGTCCGCAGAGGAACCAATGAGACTAGACCTAGCGGAGAGGAACCCGGAAGTGCGGGACTTCGGCATCAGTGATCGCAGAGTTAAACAACAGCGCTGAAGATGTGGGTCTGTGTGCAACTGTAGTGGCATTGCTGTGTTCTTTCTGTTTTTCATTTAGTGCCCGACGAATTAACTGGCGGTAGAATGGATTCAGAAGGAAGAGCGTCAAAAATAGTACGTATTGGCGTGAATTGGGCTGGCGAACCCCGGTTTCTTACAATTTGGTGCGGTATCTCATGTAGTTTCACTGGTAGTGGAGTTGTTGTCAGGTGATATTTGCATGTGACACTTGATAAGCTGTTTTTGTGGGTCAGGGTTGTTTCTTATTTAGGTTTTTACTGATGTTATCCTGGACAAATGTGACGCTATTGTAATATCCGAGTGTACAGTAATGATATTTTCATATTTCATTTGAACAAATCAAAAACACTTCTTTATGTGCCACCGAGTTCAGCGTCCCACGCCTTTCTGTTGTGGTCGTTGCAAAAAATGTCTAAGTTACTCATGTTCTATTACAACAGCATGCAACCAAAAACGCTCTTCTTTGCACTTTTGAAATAATTCAATTAGTGAATTTTGTCTATCAGTTCTACTTTGTTGTGGGGTTGCTGGCGCAGAATCTGTGCTTCCACAGTCACTAGTGAATGAAGTGTGTCCACTCCTATCCGAAATTTGCTTTTGGATAAAAAGCGATGTATAAATACAAGGCTTTAAAAATGATAAATGTGATACTACGTGCTATGCCATTGCAAGCGTTACGTTAAGTTTAAAGATCTTTATTATTAAAAACTGCAAAACTAAAACGGAAATTTCTCACTGCAAGTTGAATTATTTGCTTTCAAGTTCAAGTTTATTGTCATTATAGTCATATACAGGTACTGTACAGTATATGGTATAACGAAATGCTATTTCGCTAGCTCTCAGACGATACGTAGTACAAACAAAAACCCAACAATACAATTGTATAATAAAAGAAAGAGAGAGACAACAGGCAGTGTGCAAAAACAACAACAGACAATGTGCAAAACAACAAAAAGGTAACAAGTAATGTGCAAAAACAACATCAGATGTGCAAAAACATGCATCAACAGAATGAAATAAAAGGATAGAAATTATGGGGAGTGAGCTTTTGACATGTCAGGTAGAGGTAGATTTCAATGTGTGAGTTTTTGGTAAGAAAGAAGGCACTGTGAGGTTCAGATCATAGGTGAGAGTGAGAGAGGCTGGGAGTTTAATAGTTTGATAGTGCTGTCTCTGAGTCTGGTGGTCCGGGCCCGAATGCTCCGGTACCGTTTTCCAGATGGTAAAGGGTCATACAGTCTGTAGCTGGGATGTGTGGGGTCTTTGATGATAAGACCAGCTTTCCTCAAGCACCGTCTGTCATAAATGTCCTGTATAGATGGGAGGGCAACCCCAGTGACCCCAGTTTCTAAGACTGTACAATAAAATAGGTGATATTATTATAACATAATGTTATAATGAAGTTCACAATGTTTAGGCCCGTTGGTCTTTCATAGAAGAGAGACGCTAGCATAATGTAAATTGGAAAGGATCTCTTGTGAAGATTTTTTTTTTGCTTGTAGGTTCTGAATCGTTAATATGCAATGTCAAATGCTTTCGGTTCACACTTCGTCAGTTTTAATTCTAACTGATTAACAGTGTCTCTGAGTTATGTTTTGGTGTTGCATCTACTCAGTTAAAAGAAAAGTCTGTTTTGGGTTGTCGTGAGCACATTTCTTTTCTTAGCAATATTGGTTAACGTAGCTTCAAATAGAAAAGAGGAACCAGCTTATTTTCATAGTTTCATCTCATGACCACAGAGGTCTGTTTGTGCATCGCTCTTGGGGATCAAGTTCCTTTGGAACAATATACAAGACCTGAAGCAGAGTTCTAACAATTCTGAATACGTCAGTTGGCATTCCTGAAAAAGTCATATTATGGACTGTATCATTAAGACTTAAGCAATAAACTCAGAGAGAATAATTTCCTTTGTGGTTTCACTGTGGTGAGGATAACCACAGTAGCACAATAATTGTATCTCTAGACCCCTGCTGCCAAAATTCAAAATTCTGAAATGAACATCATTTTAGAAGTTAATCCAAACCATTACTTTAAGCTATACACTGAGAACAGAACTAGCGATCATAAATGGATACTAGCAGCCCCTAATTTCAGAGTCATGAGACAGTCCTTTCTTCACAGTCAATTCAGGAAGAGTCCTGAAGAAAATGGTTCTTGTATCACTATCTAGAAATGACTGAATAAACAAACCTGCCTCTCATTTTTAAAGTTTTTCAAGAACTCTGAGTTACTGACGTTCATATGTTTTAATATTTGCTTCCTCACCCTGTGTTATCTATGTAAGAGTAATCTCTTTATACACAGCCTTGTAGCATACTAATTGCTTTTGTTTTGGAAATTTAAAGATGGAATAGTGCAAAGGTACTTTTAAATTCTGTAGAAAATCTTTGAAAGTGTTGTTGTGCGGTCAAGAATTTACAGCACTCTTGTGCTGTTAAATTTAAATTAGAGTGGCATTCATGGTGTAAACATGATACATGTATTCTTGTTGTTACAAAGACCATATATGCAATATCTCTGTTGATCATCTGCGAGATACATTTTATCTGCTCGTGTTACTGACATTGTCAGGTACAATTATTATGAGACATGAACAAACTCGCTTAAAAATCATAAATGAAGAATAGTCATTAATTATTGATTTGCAGAAACATTTATTAAACATTGCAAACTAACACACAACTATATTTTATTACAAACAATTCACAGAAATCTCACTTAGGAACAAGTAATAGGTTTATTCCATGCTGAAAAGAGAAGAAAGACATTTCGGCCGTGGAGCCTTCTTCAGGTGTGAGAAAGACAGGGCAGTTTTTAAAAAAAAACTTAAAAATAAACAGAGTGTAACGACAGGAAAAAAAAAACTTAAAAATAAACAGAGTTTAACGACAGGAAATTGATTCCAGTTGTCAGATCACGTATACGCATACCTTAGCTTTGTGCAAAGGTAATGTAGCTTTGTGCAAAGGTAATGTAGCGGGAGTGCAAAAGCTGGGAGAGAGGAGGAGCAGGAGGCGGGAGCAGGGGACAGACAGAGTGGCCAATCAGGTAGTGTGACGTCAGGATAGGTGAAAAGAGGTGTGGAATGAAACCTACAATGAATAGAGAGAATTTAGAAGAAAAGTAATCTGTCGTTAAGAGAAGGGGGGAGGTGTGATCCTAGCTGCAGGATAATTTTAGTTTCTGTAATCTTTCTGATGTATGAGTTCGGAAAACAGTCTTTGAGAAAACAGACGGAGAGAATAGTGTGATCATGGCCGTCGGAAGTGAAATGAGAAACAATGGGCTCAGGGAGATCTTTAATCTTCACAGCCCTAAAATGTTCTCTGAACTGGTCTCCAAGTCTCCTTCCTGTTTCTCCAATGTAGATGGCTGGGCATTTACTGCAAGAGATAAAGCAAATAAGGTTGCTGGAGGTTCAAGATACTTTCTGGGTGATCCAGAATTGTCCTGAGGGGCCTTGAATGAGTGCGGTGTTAGATGTGTACTTGCAGGTGAAACAGCGAGCTCTGTTGCAAGGGAAAGTGCCTGGTGTGGATG